TTTCGCTCCATTTTTGGTACTTTTGGGCACGCCCTGCCACTGCGCTTGGACGTTTTGGGGGGCGCGGGGGGCGGCCCGGCCGTGCCTGGGCTGGGTTTGGCCCTGTCGCTCCCGGGCCCCTCCTAGTCTTCCTAACGGGTTCCGAAACTGCCGTTCCGCCACCCTCCGCACACGCCTTTTCGCTCCATTTTTGGTACTTTTGGGCACGCCCTGCCACTGCGCTTGGGCGTTTTGGGGGGGGGGCGCGCCTCTGCGTGACTGCGGCCCGGCCGTGCCTGGGCTGGGTTTGGCCCTGTCGCTCCCGGGCCCCTCCTAGTCTTCCTAACGGGTTCCGAAACTGCCGTTCCGGCACCCTCCGCACACGCCTTTTCGCTCCATTTTTGGTACTTTTGGGCACGCCCTGCCACTGCGCTTGGGCGTTTCGGGGGGCGCGGGGGGCACGCCTCTGCGTGACTGCGGCCCGGCCGTGCCTGGGCTGGGTTTGGCCCTGTCGCTCCCGGGCCCCTCCTAGTCTTCCTAACGGGTTCCGAAACTGCCGTTCCGCCACCCTCCGCACACGCCTTTTCGCTCCATTTTTGGTACTTTTGGGCACGCCCTGCCACTGCGCTTGGGCGTTTTGGGGGGCGCGGGGGGCGCGCCTCTGCGTGACTGCGGCCCGGCCGTGCCTGGGCTGGGTTTGACCTGGTTGACTTCTTATGGAAGCTAATGACTTGACATGTTGACTCAAATTCTGCTTTCTCCGCCGGCGCCTCCTGGGTGCCTAGCGGGCCTTTTGCGTCGAGATGCTGTTGCAAGCCAGTCTTTGGACTGCGCTGTATGTGCAAAAACACGCCTCGCGAACCTGCCTGCGCAGGAACTGGTGGGCTTTTTTCTCTGCGCTCTATGCGATCCGACCCCCGCCATGGCGCGGGACGAGTGCCGCTGCAACACATGGACGCTAACTGCCCGCAAAAAAAAACAGGGTCGGCGGCACCCGGGCGTAGCCCGTTCTATATATATATATATGTTTTTTGCCTGGTTTGTGGAAAACAAAGGACCCAAAAAAGCAACAAAAACAAGGGGAGCTAATTCTGGGTTCATACTTCACCATGTACCTAAGGATCGTCATCCACAATGGGTCCTTGCCAGTCTTTAATGGGGGGTTGGACCCAAATCTAGGGTGTGGTGCAGGGGAAAGGTTGGGCTCTCACTGGCCCTGTAAACTCCAAATACGCTTGGTGCTTTTTCAGTTGGCATTTTGGGAATCCGGGTTTTCCAATGTAAAAGCCTCATTTGTTTTCGAAAAGGGTTGACATCAAATCCTCAAAAAATGGGTCTTGTGTGGTTCTGGGGGACCCATGATTCCCCCTGTTGGTCCCCACTCTTTTTGGGAATGACAAATGGACATGACAAAATCCAAACGGCCGATTAGGCCAATGCCCGAATGCCCGAGTCAGGGAAACAAGTCGACTCAGAGAGCCCCTCCCTTGGAAGTGAGCCATATGCCAGCAAACATACTGTGGATGGACAAAATGCTGCACCAGTTGGAAACCATGGGAAACCATTGCTTGTCGGTATTTACAGGGGAATCATCCCTCCAGGGCCTCTTAGGTGGTGCAGGATTTCGTCCATCCACAGTATGGTCGTTCGCGGAAACATACAGGTGATACATACAGTGCCATGACGTGAACCCCCCGTCCCCACTTTTTGTGGAACATTTCGCCCTTCTCTTGGCTACCCATCTCCCAGTTTGGAGCAACCCAGCTGTTGTACCACTGCTTGAAGCTCAGTTGGTCAGTGACCCTGGAAAAAAAAGGGAACCCTTTGTGGGCAAGACCATTTTTAGTGGGGCAGCCACCAAAAAAACAGGGGAAAAAGGGGTGCCACTGAACAACTGAGGAAGACGCGCATACCTTCGCCACTTTGCTCATCGCTCCGGACCCACGGCGGCGCCTGCGGCAGCGCCATGGCGGGCGCCGGCGGCGGCGTGGCCGGCAAGGCGCGCATCGGCGCCATCGGCATCGGCGCCATGGGCGGCATCGGGACCGGCGAGGGTACCGGCGATGGCGTCGGGGAAGGCAGTGGCCTGGGCCGGCGTTCAACCTGAACTTGGATGTTCCACCCAGGGTGTGGGTCAATATTACAGAGCCAGGATTACGCAGGATTAGTCTTTGGCTGCATGTACAGTCGTTGGCTCCATTTTAATCCACCCAGGGCGTGGCTCAAAAAGCAAGAAAACGAGCCAGGGCCAACCGCAGTTTTTTTGTTTCTGTCTTTCCGTTTCCATGTTTTGGAGCCACCAGGTAAGTATTTTCTGACCATAAGGAAGCCCAGTTACCAGGGATGTCCTCACAGCTTTTCTGCTGAAAGCAAATAACCTTTCGTGTGTTACATGGGAAACCCAAGCACAAAACCTGAAGAACCACAGGGGATAGTTGGGGACCAACACGTTTCCACAACGTATAACCATGCTTGAAATCAACTTGTGTGGGCAACGAACATAAAAGAAGCGCACTGGCTTCTCCCATTTGTCTCGTGGGAACCCATTTTTAGAATTGCGTGAAACAGGAGAAACTGAAAGGAACACCATTTTAGCTGTCCGATTCTTATGTTGATAAACACATGCGCATGCACATACCTTGGCTCCTCCCCTTCGATCCCAGCTAAAAGTCGGAAACTCTTAGTACGGGAAGTTCATACCGAACTAAAGAGATCTAAAACCTCAAGAAACCGGATGGGGGGGGAACCACCGAGACACTCGAGAAAAGTCCGAACGCGAACGAGCAATGCTTGCGATCCTTTTCTCCTTTGCTCAGGCGGCGCCTGGCGGTGGAAAACTGAAAGGCTGACGGTGGAAGTGGATCAATATTCCATGGGCGCCCCGTCTTCACAATAGGCAACTGTTCCCCATGTGTTTGTCGTTTGTTGTCTTAAAAAAAACAGTATTATTACTATTATTATTATTATTGTTTAATGACCCGAAAGAACCTCCCATAACAATCAAAGGGAATTCACCAAACATAATATTCGGTTGCAATCACCCACTTCCCGAGTTGGACTTGGAATCGGGTTCAGGAACCCATGATGTGGATGGTTGCGACATCCACTTCGCACCACGAAGTGAAACTACGGGTGAAACCATAACATTTGTTGGTATTTACAGGGGAATCATCATTCCAGGGTTTCTTGGGTGGTGCAGAAGGTTATCCATCGGTGGAGGTTTTGCTTGAAAGTGTAGTTTCTCTCTTTTAGGCATGCGCCAAAATAGGTGTACCCCCAAATTGTGGTTTTCCTGTTGGTTTCCCTTCACCCGAAACTTGACAAGGGTAACCTTAACACACGCCCTGGTTCTTGTGATCATGTCAAATCAAATTCAGCATCATCCAAAACCTTTGTGTATGTGCTCAATATGAGTAGAGTCACGTCATATGGCCCGAAGCAAAAGTTCCACCACAAACTCACTTGAGTTGATTTGTCCAAAACAAGCTCCCCAACAGTGAGTCCAAGAACTCAGGGAACGAGTACAGGCAGCAATTCAACCCCTGAAAGAGTTTTCTCGGTACAGTGGATGACCACAAACAAAGTTGGAATTTACCGTGTCTTCCCTAATTATTTTTCAACAGCTCCTCAATAAGAACACAGGCTTCACAACCCCACCAATCCGAGCCTCCAATCTTTCTAACAGCAACCTGACACCTGGGAATTGGAGCCCCTCTGCAAAAAATATCTTTCACTATTTCCGGGTCCTTTCTGAAAAATGCCTTCTGTCTCAAAAGTGTGAAAGGCCAAAGATCCGTTACCAAAGATCCCTTACCAAATGGCAATCCAGATGAAGTGAGACATCTGGAAAAAAAAAATGTATCGTCCGGTGACTCTGCGTCTGGTATAAACCCCCTAGTTTGTTGGCTCAGAGACGCCCCCCGGCGGTCCCCTAAAGAGCCATAGACTCATGTAAATATGCACGTTGAGCCTTTGAAGGTAAGTGGTTAGCATCCGTTGTTATACTTGGATGCTCAATGCACTTAGTGAGTTGTAGCCGTGGTTATAAGCTACGCCCTGGTTGTAACTCCGGCTTCTGCGGATTACAACTAGGTACTCCAGTAACGAGGTTAGAAAAAGGGTACCCTTTTTTCTGTAGTCTATCTTAGTAGGGTTCGGAACCCTCCCACCCAAAAAAAGAAAGGGTAACAGAAACGGCACCAATTGCTGGACCTAGACAAACCATGGTTAGCACTTGATCGATTCGTGGAATTAGCAAGTTGCCAGGGTAGCCTTGGTTGTACCTAGAGTCTCCATGACCCTTAAAAAATGGGGTCATTGCCTTAAATAATGGGGTCATGGACCAATTGTTAAAGGGTCATGGAGACTCCAGGTAAGGCTATAACCCACTTCTCCGCCCCCCGAAGGAGAGAGAACCTTGCTGCTAACTTGCCCAAGGAAGCCCCGATCGGCCGCAGACCCATTGCAACAGGGCACTGCTTGCTGCTTGAAAGGGAAAACATGTAGGCAGAAGGTCGAACAAGACTCAGGCATGTCAGGCAATGGGGAATGGGTATGTGTTGGGAAACCCTAAAATGGTGGCTTTTTCACTTGAGACGTCTCATGACTTGCTATGTCGTATCATTTTGCTTACGCCACCAACGCATGCGCCAAAGTAGGGCCCCCAAATTATGGATTTCCTGCTGGTTTCCCTTTACCCGGACCATAACAAGGCACCTTAACCTTAACAAGGGTATGCCAAAACAACGATCTTTTTTTCCGAACAACGACCAACCAAGTTGGCGCTTCTTGCTCCAAGGCGGGTTTGATTGTTTCTTTCTGTTTTTTTCTCGCACACATGGGCTTCGCAGGTAATGGTCGTGCTTTTTCCCACCGTCGCGCTCGCAAGCGAAAGCGAAAGCGCACCATGGTTCATGATTCATGTACACCTTGAGCCTTTGAATCTGAGGTAAGTGGACAATATCCGTTGTTAGGATTGCTCAATCAACTTAATGAGTCATCCACCGTCCCTCGCCGCGCTCTCAAAGGCGTCTTAGCGAGCGCCTGCCTGGCTCGCATCGAAGCTCCTGGTCCTCCGCCCAGACGCCCTCCGTCGCTTTCAGCGCCAGGCCCGAGGCCTTGCTCGACGCAACCCGGCCCCGTTGGCACACGCATGGGCTCGCTGAACCTTCAGCCACTCGTGGCTTCTGTGTTCCAAAAAAATATACGAAACCTACCTGGAGTCTCCATTACCGCCATTACCCTTCAAAAATGAGGTCATTACCCAAATCAAGGGGTCATGAAAAGGGGGTCATGGAGACTCCAAGTAAAAAAAACTCAGCCTCTCCAAATGCGTCGCTCGGGCGTTTTTCTTGTTGATGGAAATTCTAACCTGGAGTCTCCTTCCGACCCTTTAAAAATGGTTGGTCATTCTCCCCAAAATTAAGATTCGGGTCATGACCCCTTTTCATTCGGGCTCAGAAGGAGACTTTAGCAAGACTCTTGGGCCCACATTTCTGGGAGTTACGTGATGCCCTTTTCCCTCAGGGTTCCCTCTGACTGCGAAGCCCTCGGTGCCCTTTCCATGGGCCTTCGATGGCGAAGCAAAAAGTTGATAGCCTCCATGGCAGGGCTTTTGGAAAGCCTCCACTGGAATGTCTGAGATCTACGGATGCCTTTTTGAGAGCCTGCTTGAACCATACAAATCTATACACCCACATATATAAAAACCAATACGAAACTATTACAAATCCAACTTAAAGCCCAAATAAAGCCAAATAACAACACCTGCAACAGCAGCAACCTTAACTCCCCCATCTTTCACCTATCCAATGCCCAATAATCCAAAGCCCGAGCCAAACGAGCCGAGCCTTCCATTTGCTTAAGCCTCCTGCATTTTTTGTTTGTTTGTTATGTATGTTTCCAGTAGTGAGATTGATTCCAACTCTCAAACCAAGTGGGGAAACTGAAAACATATAGATTCCCCCAAGAAAAAAAGAAAACAAGTGGCAACACCAAGTGGAAAACCAGGTGGGAAAAGCAATTCGCAGGAGCTCCCGATCCAGGCGCCGGGTGGAAGAGGCCCTGCAGCCGCCCGGCCGCCGCCGGGTTCTGCAGCAGCGACGCCGCGAAGTGACCGAGGTGCGGCAGGTGGCCCACCAAAACCTCGCAGCGATCACTTGGCGCCTCGTTTGCTCGGTGCCTCATCGTGCTTTTGGTGGGTTGTTGCTGGTATGCAAATGGGAACCAAAATAGGAAAAACAGGGAACCATATCTACAACAAATATGTATCCTTGTATATTATCTTTGGGGGGGCGTCCACCATTTTAACATGTTTGTTGTTGCGGGCATGTACCGCACCAAACTGGCCATGGCTGATCCTTTGAAGTCTGTTGGGGAACACATCCCCGGATCGATGGGAGTGTCTCAACATGGTGACCTCGTCTCTTTTGGTTGGTGTTGAAACTACCCAGAGGCTCCAATTCGATGTTTTTGGGGCCCTCATTAACCGCCAGGTTTTGAGAACCCCAAACTCCGGGGTGTCTAGTGTCTAGTGGAGGGGTCGGGTCTTCCGTTGAAAGCCCCAAGCCTCTGGGTAGGGAAATTTAGGGAAGCCAACAGGACATCAAAGGATTGAAATCGGAAAAATCCCAAAGCGCACGGCATTTCTGGATTGCTCTTCCTTGAGCGAAGTGTCTACCTGCGCCCTCAAATTACCTTCAATGGCCTATTGTTGGCGAATTCCAAACTTTAAAGGTGGTTTGAGGGCCCAGATAGAGCCAACGAGTCGGTTTTTTCCTAATGGTTTATTGCAACTCTACGTTGGTGAATTCCTGTTTTGGGGTTAGCTTGAGGGTCCAGGTATCCTTTTGCAGGATTAAATATATGCGGCCCGCCAGCTTGCAATGGTCACTGAAACCCATGGAGGGTCCGAAATCGTGATGCTTAGGGCATGCCAATCTGGACGAAGTTTCAGCCTTCAGCTGAGTAACAGGGTCTGCCCAACTCCCTCAGAATGCAGCAGTTTTGTGGATTACTCTTCCCCCTGAGCAAAAATGGTGCGTGTGTCGTCTTTCTTTAGGGGACCCCGAAATGACTTCGGCTTTTGCTTTCAAGCAACAACAAAGGGGCAGCATCCTCAAAAAAGGCACACCCATGACCCTATCTAGGAATGGAAGCAGCCATCTGTTGCCGAAGATCCAAGGCGATTGGGTGATGAGTGTTGAGGAATTCAACCGCTGGCAAAATATAGATGGGTTTCCCTGATAAATGGAATATAAATTCCATCTCAACCAGTACCAGCTATTTTAACCAACTAGGTCCTCCAATAGAGAGGTTAGAAAAAGGGTACCCTTTTTGCCGTAGTCTATTTTAGTAGGGGAACCCTCCCAACCAAAAAAGAAACGGTACTGGGGACCCAGCCAAAGTAACCTAGAAAGGACACCTATGCAACCTGGCCGACCGCCCAAGTACCAGGATGCCTTGATGCGGCCAAGACGCAACCACTGGCGCGCTGGGAAGCAACCTGAGCCAAAACCAAACAACACCTGCAGATTCTACCGAGATGGTCGGAAAGGCTCCTGAACATAGGTGTCCTTTTTGGGAAAATATAGATGGCCCGGGTAGCTGATTAAACCGCCAGGTAAACCAGGACCCTCTATGTTTCAACCAAATCAACCAAAAAGGACACCTATGCTCATGACAATATAAGTATAGGTCCTAACACTGCAGATGGTGTATGGTGATTATGGTTGCATCACACACCAATTTCCGTGTCTACTGAAATCCGCATTGAACCACATAGTCAAATCACCTTCTCTGGGTGTTGGGCCAAGTTGGCAAGTGGTGAGCAACAGGGCTAACTCCTGGCGGGCCTTAGTGGGGGTCAACACTCAGGTTGCTATCCACCTACTTGATGCTGTTGTAGGTACGATTCCAAAACTGGGCTGTCCTCAGATCCCCTGAACTCTTAGCGGGTGAAATTCGGAAACCCAACCACTCGACCAACTAAAAACCACCCAAAACCAACCGAAGACCTAAGTTGACCCGGACGATTCGCTAGTTGAACCGCCCAGAAAAAGAGGGTTTCAGCTTCCGAAAGGATACTCATTTCCGGCGGTATGTCCCGGTCCTCGGCCTTTCCCTTTGGATTTACCTTTCGGCCCTAAACAAGATGCCTGGACACTCAGGCTACCCGCAAAAACAACGGACGGATTTCACCAACCATAATTTTGAGGGTTTGGGAGCCTCCACCCAAAACAAAAAGGATTTCACGAATCTGAATTTGTGAGCAACGATCCAGTTTGGAGGAAATTGCAGGATCCACATACACATCAACACCTTGGAGTTGTGTGGCTCATTTGGTCAAAGGGTGCCGCGAAACATGGGTGGTCTTCCTTTATGTTTCAGACGAGCCTCAAGTACATAATCTCAGTTGAAGTACTAAGCCTTTCCCCTCAACAGCTGTTTGGTTTACAGCACCCACTGAAACTAAACAGAGCCTCTAAACCAAGTAGAAACCTAAAAACCTATGAGTTAAATGAAACCGAAGTCACTAAGCCAACCAAAAACCTAAGCCCAAAACCCTAAACCAACTAAAAACCCAAAACAACCTATGGGTTCAATGAACACCAAAAACTACAAACCTTAAAACGTATGCACTAAGCCAACTAGAAACCTACAAGCCAATGGGTTAGGCGAAAATCCGGCCCAATAAACCAAGTAAAAGAGTCTAATAACCCATGCACAAAACCAACTAAAAACGCCTGAAAACCCCTCCGTTAAATAAACACCCAACCCACCAAACCAACAAAAACAACCTCAAACACCTAAGTCGAACCCGAAACCCGACGCTTCGCTGTGCGATCCAAGAGGCTCCATCGCCTTGCTGGGCTCATCCTTGGGTTGCAGCCCTGGGCGCTCCTCGCACAAGACCTTCCGGCACGGCAAAGCGATGTTGTTCGCTCCCACTACCCAGCGTTTACCTGCCCAAGAGATATGGCCATCTGTCAAAATCCAAATCGTACCCCCAGTGAACATCAACCAATCACTAGCCTGTTCGAAATCCGGGCCTAATCACAATCCGTAATCCGCTTATAATCCGCGTTTCAACGGTAAACCCCCCAATCCGTAATCCGCGCGGCTGCTTACCATTCCACGCCCCAGGCAAGGCTATTCAAAATCAATGCAACCGAACCCTCTTCAGCTCAAAAGCAATATGCCCAGTCAACACCCGTTCAGAGTAACCGCTCGGGGCTACTTTTCCAAAAAGTGGCTGCGGATTGCTGCTACTGGTTTGGAGTTCTGCAAGGGCCACTTCACTGCAAAAGCAGTTCTGCCTTGACTCAGACTTGCTTGACAAGTAAGGAACAAAGTAACCCCGGATTGGGGCCAAGTCACGGGAAAGAACTTGTTCGGGGTTACTTTGCACATGGATGGCTGCTACTGGTTTGGAGCTCTGCAGACGCCAGTTCATTGCAAAAACAGTTCTGCCTTGCCTCGGCCCTGCCCGACAAGTGAGGAACAAAGTAAATTTGGATTGGGGCCAAGTCACGGGAAAAGGCTTGTTCGGGGTTACCTTGGACATGGATGGCTGCTACTGGTTTAGAGCTCTGCAAGGACCTCTTCCCTGCAAAAGCAGTTCTGCCTTTCCTCGGCTTTGCCCGGCAAGTAAGGAACAAAGTAACCCCGAATTGGGGCCAAGTCAACGTCGGCAGAGGGTTCGCCTCGGCTACGCGCAAAACACATGCAGTCTGCAAGGGGTTGCTGCAGCTGCCGGAAATCGTTCGCTCCGACTCAGTCGCGTTCAGGCACCTAATCCCTAAGGAGGAGATACCCACTGTGGTGGCACTTGCAAGAACCTGATTTCTGATGGATCCAATTGTGCTGGAAGCGTCTGGTTGATGTGTCGCAATGCACACCAACCAGCGCAGCGAGGTCCTTTGTCTATAGTCTACTATGGTGAAAAAGGCTGTATGCGTGCTGGTCATGTGGGAAAACAAGAATGAGCATCGCCAAGGCTACACTGCTTCATAGCCCGAAG